CGAACCCGCCGCAGGGCGCCTCCAGCTCCTGTCCCCGTGCCTGAGACCTCTGGTCCCACTCCGCCGCGCTGGTCTCGCACTGCGCCGTGAGGTCCTCGAGAGGATCGGCGGCGAGCGAGGGTGGGGAAGCGAGAAGGAGGATGTCTTCTCACTTCCCCCAGCCTCCTGAAAAGCTGTCCGAGCCTGGTTCTCGAGGGCACAGGAGACTTCTCGGTGGGCCGGAGGGCTTCCGAGAAGCCCCGCCGCCCTCTGAGAAGGCCTCCTCCTCACCAGGGCTTGACCTAAACGGTGTTTTCCGTTTTCGTGCTGTGTTCGTTCTCCCTGGCTCTGTCTCCGCTACGCCTTGGCAGCAGAACAACATCCAAACGAAAACGGCCCACGAAATCGCCAACACACCGTTTCGGTCGAGCCCTGCTTCTCACTTCGGCCCGGGTCGGGGATCCACGGACCCGGGTCCATCCAGACCTGGGTCGGTCGGGCCCTGCAGGATCCTGCAAGATCCTCCAGGGTCCTGCAGGATCCTGCACCCAAACCTGGGGCAGAGCACTCCTGGACCTGCAGGATCCTGCAAGATCCGGCACCCTGGCGGACCCCCGCTTGCATGAACCCCCGTCTCGAGGCGCCCGAATGTGCATGTCCCGAGAGCGTCCGGCCCGGGGAGCTGTCCCCAGCGCTGCTGTGCGATGTGGCCTCCCCTGGCTGCCCCGCCGGGCCCTCCGAGCAGCCCCCCACACGGGCCCCTGAGGGTGAAGACAGTTCTGAAGGGGCCCTGAGAGACACAAATAAATCGACACAAATAACAGCATTCCGCACAATTCCCTATATTTTCTGTGTGTGTTTTTTCCCCTCCTGAAAATCGGCGGATGAGAGCGTCGGGCTCTTCGGGCCTCCAGGCCGGGCCCTCCAAGAGGCCCCCCACGACGGGCGTCTACACATTGGCCCCCCGTCGTATCTGGAGCCCCGAGCGGGCGCGCTGCCGCGAGGCTGCGGGTGCGCCCCTCCGCCCTCCCGTCGCTCTCCTCCTCCTCCTCCTCCTCCTCCTCCTCCTCCTCCTCCTCCTCCTCCTCCTCCTCCTCCTCCTCCACGCCCCTCCTCTTCTTCTTGACGCTGCGCGGACCTGCAGCACGGGCTTGCGGCGTTCGTCCAAAGGAAGAGCAATCGCCGCCCTAGGCGAAGGAGCAAACAAACTAGGCGGATGGCGGGCGCTGCAGGCAAGGACAGGCAGGAAAGAATGGCAGCGGAGAGAGGCCAAAAACGGCGCAGAGTAAGCGACCCCCTTCCTCCCCGCCTCCTTATCAAACAGGCAATGCTTGGGCACCCCTGGTGTGCGAGGTCCGCCCGAACCAGCTAAGACAATGTTAGCAAAGATCATGCTGACGTTGCGAAAGACGGTGCTACAGACGACGACGACGACGACGAGGACGAGACGACGACGACGACGACGACGACGACGACGACGACGACGACGACGACGACGACCCGCACATAATCACAGGAACGGTGATGACGGAGATGACGATGACACCGCCACCGTCAGCGCCATCCCTTCTCACCTCCTCCTGCTTCCTTCTCCTGCTCCTGCGATATCTGCTTCTCCTCATCGGCTATTGGATCATAACTCGGGCCCCCGGCGGCCAGTTGGGGCAAGTCGGGCACCCCCTGAAACGCTCTGGGCGAGGCGCAGCTGTTGGAACGCACCACGCGGGTGGCAAACCTCCGGGAACCGACGGGAACGCCCGACCCCCCCTCAAACGCCGAACCCCACACCTCCATCATCACCATCATCACCGCCGCCGCACCGAGGGCCCCAACCCAAAGGCTGGGACCGCATAGCCATCCGACCGGCAAGTGGCAGCAGACAAGGCAGCGCCGCGGCATCGTGTGCGGCGGGCCCGCGCGGTCCTTCAGGTAGACCTTGTCGTCCTGCGCCGGGGGATGAGGAGGAGAGGGACGAGGAAGAAGAGGAGGAAGAGGAGGAGGAGGAGGAGGAGGAGGAGGAGGAGGAGGAGGAGGAGGAGGAGGAGGAGGAGGAAGGCAGGGGGGGGGTGTGCCTCCTCCTTCCCCCCCCTCCTCCTCCCTCCCCTACTCCCTCCTCCTCCTCCCTCTCCTCGGGGGGGGCCCGCGCGGAGATCCCAGGCGGAGGTCGGCTGCGCTGCGAAGCCAGTGAGGGCACGGAGGATCGGTCGGTGGCGCCTCGGTGGCGCCTCGGAGGAGGAGCAAGAGGAGGAGGAGAAGGAGCAAGAGGAGGAGGAGGAGAAGCAGGAGAGCAGGAAGGGGAGAAAAAAAGCATCGACCGAGCACATGCCTGCACAGAGCCCCGCCAGGCCGTGGTCCGTGCCCAGTTGACAGGGACAGGCAGACCAGAAGGAATGCTCGCATCGCGAGACCCGACCGCATGACAGAAGAGGAGGAGGAAGGGGACAAAGAAGAGGACGGACGAGGAGAGTGGAAGAGCGAAGAAAGAGTACAAGGAGGACGAGAAGGCGACCGAGGAGGTGGA